CCGCACTGTGCTTCAGCCGTTTTGCAGATACGAGTAGGTAACCGCAGGTTGGGATTTGAGGTCTTCGTTGACAAGAAAGTGCGTTCATGACCCCACTCACTGTCACCATTCGCTAGCATCTTAAATAATGGGATTTGAACTGGCCCACATAAGATATGCACGACGACTATTGGTAAATATACATATTTGACAATGCTGCCAGTAATACCGTCCCGAAAACACTGCATTTATCACATGTTTAAAAGGCGAGGTCTCGCTTTGGTACAATGTGCCTTCGCAGACGCGCTGGCAAGCTAGTAAGAGGTCAAGCACAAAAGAGGAGGAAGAGGGGGGGAGAGAACCAATCAAGCGAGATTAATGAGATGCCTTCTTGAGTACGCATGAAGAATGCATTTATTTATGAGCTAAATGATCTGTCTAGCCCAGAAAGATTCGGATCTTTTATTGTCTCAATGAATGACGAGTTTAGGCAAAGTCACGTCTTAGTCTCAAGCATGCTCCAACTCAAATTCGATAGAAAAAATCAACAGAGTCAAGGAGCAATAATCATCTTATTCCTTCCCTAAGTATCAAGTAAAAATTTTAATCTCATATGTAAAGACTAATAAGCACATCTTCCAAACCCCGTAACTTCTCGATTGAGGCAAAAGGGTAGATTAATGAGATGGATGTAAGGAGGTGGAGCGCAAGGCGTCCGACAAAACGGTAGGAAGAAGTTTGTCGCAAACATCTTGCACTCTTAATAAGCTAGAAGAGGTAAGAGGGAGCGTTTCTCCTCAACTAAGAGATTAAGTCATTGATCAGAAACTAAGTCCATGGGGAGTTTTGTACTGCAATAAGTAGTCAATTGACATCCTTGCACTTTAAGAACTACGGTAGGAAAGAGTCGAAAGTGCAAAGACTGCATGGTTTACAAGAGAAGTGGAAACACAAGTGCTTGCGAAAACAGCTTTTCAAACGGCAACTCTGTATCAAAGACCTTTTCTCATACTGAAAGACAAAGTAGAATCGAACTCTTACTATAGAATGATATGGAAATAGTAGTGATTATACGAAAAAAAAGCAAAATTGGAGCAGAGTAATTTGTGTATCAAGGAGTGCAGATTAATCGAGTTTACAATAAACGATGTTAGCATGCTTTGCACAACAAAAAATATGGACGAATAGTGTGGTCGTCCAAGTATGAACGAATAATACTTTATAGCAAGAGAGCAAAATGTTTAAGTGAGACGCCTACAAAGGCATTGGGATAGAAGTTGAAGTCATTGGCGCGCCACAAGCTTTAATTATAATACGATTTTTTAACACTATCGTGGACAACTCTGCAACGGTGGGCACAACAATTTCCTACCACAATTAAAGGGAACCCGCATCGTAGATTTCCTCTTCAATTACTTCCCACTGCAGACTGTGAAAAGCGAAGGAACACAAAATTGCAGAGGCGGAAGGATGTAGAAACTGAATTGTAAACTCCCCACCCTAGCTCCCTTGGTGGGTGGTAAGAGCTAAGATTGTTTGACAGGCGACGTGGATGTAAGAGAGGAAGGAAAACAGCCATCGAAAAGTACTCAGGCTCGTAAAGTGAGACTGTAAATTAGGATTGGGAATTTTGTAGTTCATTAAAGCAAGAATGGGCAATAAAAGAACAACTCTAGGCACTCTTCTGTAGAGACTTGATCTTTTAACTATGTGCTGAACTAAGCGGGCACCTCAGCGTCCACAGGTTGTTTCCCCGCCTTGCGGTACGATTTTCTCTTCTGTACCTTAGTAATACACATTCTGCCATACTACTTTGACTTAGTTCTACTTTGGGGAAGACTCGATGACTCAAAATCCTAAAACATCAGACGTGGGAGAAATGAGGGTGACAGGTGGCAGTACTGCCAATCTCAAGGCCTATAAATAGTTCCAATTGACCAACTGGAGAGAATAATTAGCATCAAGAGAGAGAACTGAAGCTTTCTTATATTGCGATATTGCTTGTGCAGGAGGGATTGGTTACTGCAAGACAACGGTATGTTTGACGCTAATCGCATGCATTGGTCCACAGTAGGGCCGCCAAAAATAGTAAACGTCTCAAATCACACTCATCAAATGCTGCTAATCATGTGGAGAAGGAGATACATACATTCAAGTAGGCAGAAAGTTCCAAGATTTTGAATAAAAAGAGCTATTTTTGTAGCAGAAAAAACCGGGAAAATAACTTAAACCACACCCGTTATTATCATCATCAAACGAATAGTCAATGTCGCAAAGTAGGTGAATCCCAACAATTCCGTACCACCTCGGCGAAGCCTTCATGCCGTAGCAGGATAGACGAACTTTAAGAGGACTGTCACTGACTCCCTTTCAATCAATGTAGCAAACTATTCAAAGTTTTCACCCAATGGACTACCTTCCTTCAAAGAGCTAAATGTTACTGAGATAGCAACCCTGCTGCTGATAAATTGTGCTTGAATTTGGGATGCATCCCACGGGACCATAACAACTAATTTAAACGCCTACTCGTTCATTTTAGTTTCATTTCAGCTGTTTCTCTCTGTTAATTTGCATTCGATAAAGATCCGGTTAAGATGCTCAATAGTTCACACACATACACACACGCACACACACAATAAACATAAAATTGATGTTTGGGCCTGATTGAAATGGAATTCATTTTATTGGAAAAGTATTGTATCTGGATAAATGTATATTACAATAAAAAAGTCAAATAAGTTCAACGGGCAACCACAGACCAAAATTGTAGTTTGACACTATGGTAAAACATCACAGTAACCAAAAAATGAGCAGCCGTGAGTGAAGGTTGGGAAACTTAACCACTTACGAAAACGAGACCCTTAATAATGAGCTATTGAGCAGAAAACTAAAGAGCTCAAGACAGAGACTCCGGATCACAAAGCAAGGTAATTTTAGGCCTCAACGCCTACCGTTTCCAGAAAATAATCACTAACCAAAAAACGTGAGCGAAATATCAACTCCCAACCTCATTATTCAATGAACCGAAATGTGTCACAATAAACTAAGAGATATCGAAGGGCACAAACAGTCATTCGCGCCCCTCATTATCCAAAGGTGATAACTAATGTAAAGCAGCAAATACAGAAACAACAGTGTCAAAGCTTCCCCGGCGGTAATAATGGCGAATTTAGGGATTACGACCGTCCACTGGCAATGGGAGGCAGTGAAATAAAGAGCTTTAACAGCAATTCACAAAGTGACACTGCTCTGCGGGTATCAATAGCACTCGTACATGAAGTCACTCGCAATCGCGCATATTCGCTAATCCATTCGCTCGCCTATTCCAAAGAGAATAAGTCATCTTCTTTCCAAACACTCAATAATTGGTAGAGGCAGCAAACTGCCCAATGTAAAGTTTAGACAGTGCCGCTTTCATTCTTTAGGAGTTTGAAGAGATGGTGAGGGTATGACGATGTTAAAGCAACTGGGTAAATGCGCGTACAGAAGAGGTGATGGAAATGTATGTATACGCGCACAAAAATCTCGGTGGTGGGACACAGAAAAAAGCCCAGTACGGATACAGTAGACGCAACTGAAGCGTAACGTAGGGCAGAAGAGGGAATCGAGAATCATGGTTCTGAACTTTTTTTCATGCAAAACCCCCCAAAACTCAAGCAAACTTGACAGCTTGTAATACGCCAACTCAGCACTAAGCATCTCTCAACATCCTGCAAACATCCGCTTGGGCACAAGCCTTTGGTGACAAAATATAAAAATAAGGTAGTTTTCTAATCAGGGGACTTTCAATAAGTAGTTAACGATAAAGAAAAATAAATGCATGATGTTTAGGGACAATGTTTTTTCAGGGTAAACAAAAAAAACAATCCTCTTAAATAAGATCTGGTGTTTCTTAGCTGAGCTCACCAACACGTGCACTTCAGGCTCTACAGGTTGTACTTTCACTTTGTAGGGTGGTCTTCGGGTCCCACTAACGACCCCTTAACTCTTCTTATACGTTAGCAGTATACATTCTGCCATGCCGGTTTAGCCTACTACGATTTCAGAAAAGACTCAGAGCTCAACACCTTTACAAGATTTGATCAATTTCACGACAATTATGCAAAACCATAAAAAAATACCTCAAATCAAGGGTTAGGGACAATTTATAGATTAAAGGAAGCATGAATAATAAAAGGAGAGCTTTTAGAGTAGCTTAAATCACAATAAACATTCACAATCAAGCAATACCAATTGAAAGAGTGAATAATCTGGTCGAGGTAGACAATAAATTTTAATATAAAAGAGAAGGAAAAGCACACCTTGCTGATTTTCTCTGTCGTCCGGAGGCGAGTTGAGATGAGGGCTGTCAAGTGACAGGGGTACAGCGAGTCTCGTGCAGCCTTCGACATTCATGTCAATCGATGTCAATGGTGTACGTGGCGACCTCGAACTCCCGTCTGCTAAAAAAGCATTTTAAACGAAGGAGTAACGAGTTGTCACATCTCACACATCGCACTCGAACATTTATGCTAACACACTCATCAAATTCAAATCGCTTTTTTCCCTAAAAAATAGGCAAATGATTCAAGCCATGAGGTACTGGAGCTCGCGAATTGAGAGAACCTCGAATAATTGGAACTTTAAGCCCAACGCCCTGACAGAATTTAAAGGACAAAATTAGCCACTGGTAAGGCCTTTCCAACCAAGTGAAGGGTATTTAAATGACAAATTAAATTGAGGACGACAAATTTGGGGGTGAAATGATCGAAAAGAAATAAAGTGCCCTGAGAAGCTTACTACCTTTGATCGAAAACTCCGAGAAAGATTTTAAGTGAGAGCTCCAGTGGGTGTTTGACAGAACAGCTTCCTTTTGATTGATGGCTTGTTCAGAAGACATGGGTGTCCCGAGTCTTGGTGATTTGAAGCTCGCTAAACCAAAGTTGAGAATAAGAGTGAAAACCACGGACGCCTACTTAGATAAAACATTAATAAGAGCGCATAACGCAGTCACCATAGCTTTCACAAAAGGAGGAGACGGAAACTCATCTACGCAATTTATAACCCACCAAAGTAGGCTGAAATAATTTCTGAGGGTTCAGAAAAGGACTCACCACGCCTGGAAGAGAGCCGAAAGGGTACCAGAGGCGGTTGTATGTGAGGAGTTTCAGCCTGTGAATTCGATAGAACATCACCTACAATTACCAATTTAAAGTAGAATAAGATAGCCAATATTTGTAAAAGTGGTCAGAAAATGTTTGTACATAAACCCATAAAGACAACAAAAATTGGTTGCACACTGAGCGTTCAGGAAAGACGGAGACTTCTGAGTTTGT